TTTCTCTTGCAACTGTAATCTATTTTCCTGATGCTGGCAGCATAAGGGCTCATGTACACTGCAGCTGATAAACTGACGTTCAGGAGCTTTTCTGCGTTGTTTTCAGCAACCCCTGAACTCTCCCTAATGTTTTCCTATGTGTCCATCTACACATCGTCGTTTACAGTCATTTACAGGCAGTTGAGTTTACAGTCGTTTTTTTTTTTGAACGCAGAAAACTTGCGTTCAGGAGTAGATTTTATCAGCGTTTCAAACACCAAATAAGCGTTTGCATTTGGAAATTTTTTTTTAACTCTTCCATTTCCACATGCTATCCAGAGCCTTTTTCATCATGAAAAATGCATGCAAAACGTTTTCCCGGTATTCAAATATGTTAGACACTGCTGCAATAATTTCTGTACAGAAATGAGCTGGAACACATCCAAACACCACAAAAAAAAAGACAGCTAATCTCAACACATACTGCTCTCTCTGCTTCTGCTCTCTCTATTTCTCTCAAAATGTCTGAAATATTTATTTTTTACTGTTTTTCAGTGCATTCTGGGCATTTGGGAAGGTCTCCTGAGGTTATCTTTAACAAAACACTTCTAAATGCAAACACTCATAAACGCGGTATGCAAACGCAGCTCAACAGACATTTTTTAACCTACATTTTCCAGCAGTCAGTTTCCATCGTTCAGAAGTGTCCCGTGTACATGGGATGTAAGGATTCAAAATAGTCCATGTTGATTGAGAGAGTGAAGTTCCACTTTTAAACCTGCTCCCACCCCCAATCTACGCCATATACTAACTACCCTGTAAAGGTAGTCCGGTCACATGATTGGCTTCAGAGGAAAGTAGGGACAGTGGGCAACATATGCCCCATAGTAAGTCTGTGACGTCACTGCCCAGGCTCTGCAACTATTGTCTCTCCTCTCCCCTGGAGAGGCCGACCTCAGCGGAGATCATGTGATTGGACTGGAGTGTTCTTTGATTAGACAAGTATAGGCATCTTCCTTTAGAGCCAGTTTACACTACATGCATTTCAGTTGCTTTTTTTCTGCATCCAAATTGCACAGAGAGTAGGTTATATGGTTGTCAATGTCATAGTACACATCAGTGCTTGCAGTTCCAGTGCGTTCTGATTGCAGAAAAAAAAAATGCTGCATTTTTTCTGCACAGAACTGTATTGGAACTCAGTAAAACGTGTAAAAAACACACCTGACCGCACTGGAACACACATGTCCCTATTTAAAATGAATAAAAAGAGGGGGAAAAAATTAACTGGAATGCTTAAAAACACTTTGTAATGCATCAAAAAACGTATAAAAAATACACTGGAACGTGTCAAAAAGCACATGTCGTAATGCATCTGGACTGCGTTTCTATAGTCTGAACCGGCCATTACAGAGTAGTTAGTATAGGGCTTAGAATGGGGGTTGGAGCAGGCTTATGGTTAATTAGGTTTTGGCTGGACTTCCACTTTAAAGCAGAGCTCCAGGCAGAAAATGCACAAATTAATACAGTTCTGTATTCACTAATACATCATTAAAGCTCAAATTTAGTTACATTAGTAAAATAACAGCACGAGAGATAGTACTTACTTTCTATGAAATGTCCATTGTGCTGGTGGCTTTTTCCTAGTTTAAATCCTCTGTCCTCTGCCTCCCCTCCCCCCCTCATCCCGTGCTGCTGCTGAGTGTGGACTATGCTTGTTCTTTATCCCCCCCCCTCGTTAATTTATGGAAGCTTTCATCAATGAAAATTAATCTATGAATGGAGGACGCATGGATTAATAAAAGGTCTGCCTCCTCTATTCATAGGGCTCTTTTAATTGATGGAAGATATGATATGGTTTCCATGAATAGAGGCGGGGGGGGGGGGGGGCGGAAGGGCAGGCATTGTTAGCACTCCTGACAAGTGCCTATGACAGGTTCTGCTACTTGTATTAGCTCCCGCAACACCAGAGGATTTTTGCCGCAGTATGAGGGATTTTTGCCAGCAGTATGAGAGGGGGGGGGGGGGGCAGAGGAAAGAATATTTCAAATAAGAGAGCCGCCAAAAGTACAAGGGGCACTTCACATAGAATGTCAGTACTGTCCCTTGTGCTGTTTTTTTTTTAAACTAAACTTAGGCTTTAATGCATATGTGAACCCAACATTTCATATTCCTGTTCTCTTTGTAATATTTCCTTGTGTGAAATCCCTGTTGTTCTTGCCAGTCTCTCTGCTTTCCTATTAAAATCTGACCACATTAGGCATGAGAGCACAGCATGGTCAGTTCTTTAGCTGTGCTGGAACTCAGCCTGTTCTCTAGTGTTCAGACTTGTATTGACATTTCCCTTCCCTGCACAGACATTCACTAGGAAGATCAGTGCACTGCTGTTTCTACACCCCCCACCTCTCTATGCAGCTGAGAACAGAGAATATATGATCACTTTTAAAAAAGGAAACAAAAGTGTTTATAATGTGTTTATACATGTATACTCACGTTTTGCCTTTCATTTCTATTTCACCCTGAATGGGTAGTTTTACATATTATTATATTATTATTATTATATACAGGATTTATATAGCTCCAACAGTTTGCTCAGCACTTTACAATATAACGGGAGACAATACAGCAACAATACAGTTCAATACAAGAGGGGTAGGAGGGCCCTGCTCCTCGGAGCTTACAATCTAGGAGATGCTTTCAGAGATTTTTTTTTTTCTCTTTAAAGTGTAACTAAAAGCAAAACTTTTTTTAGTGTGGGATAGAGTGGAGAGGAATTAGAACACCTATTGAGTCTTTATTTCTGTCTGTGTCCCCCTTAGGGACAACCAAAAAACATGAATGTATTTTATTGGGATTTTATGTGATAGACCAACACACAGTGGCACATAATTGTGAAGCCCCCGGAGTCAATACTTTGTAGAACCACCTTTTGCTGCAATTACAGCTGCAAGCCTTTTTGGATATGTCTCTACCAGCTTTGCACATCTAGAAAGTGAAATTTTTGCCATTCTTCTTTGAAAAAATAGCTCAAGCTCTGTCAGATTTGATGGAGAGCATCTGTGAACAGCAATTTTCAAGTTTTGCCACAGATTCTCAATTGGATTTAGGTCTGGACTTTGGCTGGGCCCTTCTAAAACATGAATATGCTTTGATATAAACCATTCCATTGTAGCTCTGGCTGTATGTTTAGAGTTGTTGTCCTGTTGGAAGGTGAACCTCCGCCCTAGTCTCAAGTCTTTTGCAGACTTTAACAGGTTTTCTTCTAAGATTGCCCTGTATTTGGCTGCATCCATCTTCCCTTCAACTCTGACCAATTTCCCTGTCCCTGCTGAAAAAAAGAATCCTCACAACATGATGCTGCCACCACCATGTTTCACGTTGTGGATGGTCTGTTCAGGGTGATGTGCAGTGTTAGTTTTCCGCCACACATAGCGTTTTGCTTTTAGGCCAAAAAGTTAAATTTTGGTCTCATCTGACCGGAGCACCTTCTTCCACGTTTGCTGTGTCCCCCACATGGCTTCTCGCAAACTGCAGCTGAGAACAGAGATTATGTAATCTTTTAAGAAAAAAACGTTTATAAATATATATACACACACACAAATTTTTTCATTTTTAATTTCTATTTTAAACTGAATGGGTTGATTTACAAGATGAGGGTTTACATTTGGTTGTAAAAGATAAACGTTTTTTTTTACCTTTATGCATTCTCTACATTAAAGTGGTTGTAAACCCTTACCTATACCCAGTGAAGCGACTGTCCTCAGGTGTTACACAGAGATTAAACAAATCCTCCTACACAAGATGTACCTGTTTCTCTGTAGCTATTTGTCCTATACATCCATTTAAAACTCTGTTTTTCACAGACTCTCAAAGCAGGGGGCGGGGAGCTGCAGTTACACACTGCACAAGAGCTCTGGGAACTGATTGGAGGGAAGGGACACGCCCTCCTTCATACAGCTCAAAGGAACACAGCTGAGGCTGTCAATCACAAGCTGTGTGCTGGAGCTTACTCTGCTGTCACCATTTTAGCTCTTGATGTCAGGAAAACTTGTCAGAAGTGACTCATGCAGAGGAAATAAACAGCAGAGAGAAATGATTCTTAGTGCTATGGAGAGAGGCAAGTAAACACTATAGAAATATGTGAGACCGGAAGTACCCAGTTCCTCCTGATTTGGACGGATCTACCTTGTCTGGCCAGGGGTCGGGAAGGCAGAGAGTCCGCAAACCAGGCACAGGGAGAACATGCAAACTTCAGGCAGGTGGTGCCATGGTTGGGATTTGAACCAGCAACCCTAGTACTGCCAGGCAGAAGTGCTAACCACTTAGTTAATTTTCTACTGTTTTTCAGTGCATTCTGGGCATTTTGGAAGGTCTCCTGAGGTGAGGTATCTTTAAAAAAAGTTTCTAAAATCAAACGCTCATAAACACGCATAAACACAGTATGCAAAAAAGCGGCTAAACAGATGTTATTTAACCTACGTTTTCGAGCAGTCTGTTTCCATTGTTCAGAAGTGTCCCATGTACATGGAACCTAAGTGATTACTTGTTAGCCTCACAATCTCATATTTATCCTTAGTATACTTACATAGTTTACAATATCTGCTTTATTTGGGATATGTATGGGAGACAACATTTTGTAATTCTTTGTTTTACAACAGCCCTGAAGTGGAGTCATGAAAAACATAGGATTGAATGTGAGAGCATAGCAGGCATTGGGTAGGTTTACTGAAGAATTAAGGCTCCTTAGTAAAGTGAACGCTTACTGTGCACCGTGAATGTTGGTCAATAAAGTGACACTGTGTTCATTCATATTGATTGCTCAATCATGTACTAGGGCAGTGATGGCGAACCTTTTTGAGCCCGAGTGCCCAAACTGCAACCCAAAACCAACTTATTTCTTTCAAAGTGCCAACACTGCAATGAAACCTGAATATCGAGCTTTTGGTTTCGAAAAAACAACTCGTACAGTAGTGCAAACTAATTAACAGTACAGGGATGACCAGAGACTGCGGACACAGTACAGGGATGACCAGAGACTGCGGACACAGTACAGGGATGACCAGAGACTGCGGACACAGTACAGGGATGACCAGAGACTGCGGACACAGTACAGGAGATGACCAGAGACTGCGGACATGGTACAGGAGATGACCAGAGACTGCGGACACGGTACAGGGATGACCAGAGACTGCAGACACAGTACAGGGATGACCAGAGACTGCAGACATAGTACAGGGGATGACCAGAGACTGCAGACACAGTACAGGGATGACCAGAGACTGCAGACACAGTACAGGGATGACCAGAGACTGCAGACACAGTACAGGGATGACCAGAGACTGCGGACACAGTACAGGGATGACCAGAGACTGCGGACACAGTACAGGGATGACCAGAGACTGCGGACAGTACAGGGATGACCAGAGACTGCGGACAGTACAGGAGATGACCAGAGACTGCGGAAAGCACAGGGATGACCAGAGACTTCGGACAGTACAGGAGATGACTGCTGACCTTTGGGGAGGGAGGGGGAGCGGGTACCTGAATTTGACAGATACCCGCTCTTACTTCCGCAGAGTTTTTTTTTTATCTTACCTGTTCCTTTATCCAGCCGCGCGCTGTCTTCCCGGCTTCTGTAGTGTGGGCGCTCGTCGGACAGCCGGATGCCCAGTGCGCATGCGCGAGAAGCGCTGCGCTTTGTGATTGGTCCGGCGGCTTCTGGGATCTGTCATGTGTCCCAGGTACCGCCTTACCATTCACAAAGAGCACTGCTTCTTGCGCATGCGCACTTGGGACCCGGCTGTCACGCACACTACAGAAGCCGGGAAGACAGCGCGCCGCTGGATAGAGGGACAGGTACGGTCCCACTGCAGAGCTGAGCGGCCGGCCCGGTATTCTGACACGGCGGCGGTGGAAATACCGGACCGGCCGCTCTATATTCGCTCCATAAGACGCACTGACATTTTCCCCCCTTTTTTGGGGGAAAAAAAGTGCGTCTTATGGAGCGAAAAATACGGTATTCTCCTGGCGTGCCCACAGATAAGGCTCGGCGTGCCGGCTGTGGCACGCGTGCCACGGGTTCGCCATCACTGTACTAAGGAAACAAAAAATAAATTATTTTTGCTAGAACCTGACTCAGTATTCAAAGTGAAAACAGGTTCACCTTATGTACTAACATTTACTTTGCTCATTGAACAGCCTATATTCCTTTAGTAAATCAACCCCACTATGTTCTAGCGCATCTTATGGTCTGTATGATAGCTATGCCAGGAAGTAAAATGCGTGTTCTTTTATGTGTTACAACATCTTTCTTCTTTGTTTCCATGCAGTTGTTGCAATGACGTCTGGAGTGCTGATTCAGAATGATTTTCTGTGTTGTACCTCTGCGAACAACTCTCACCAAGCAGCAATGAGCTCAGGTACTAATCTTCTTTGACTATTAATCTACAATCAATATATGTTCCTAAAGAATATGTAAACCCAACATTTCATATTGCTGATATGTGCCTGCTGTACTATGTACTTGTATGAAAAAGTATCCTGTTCTCTTTGTATTGCTTCCTTTGTGTGAAATCCCTGGTGTTCCTGCCTGTCCCTCTGCTTTCCTATTAAAAACTGACCACACTAGGCAGGAGAGCACGGATTGGTCAGTTTTCTAGTTGTGCTGGGTAATCAGCCTGTTCTCCTCCAATGATCATTCTTTTTTTTTATTATTATTATTATTATTATACAGAATTTATATAGCGCCAACAGTTTGCTCAGCGTTTTTCAAAATAAAGGGAGACAATACAGCAACAATACAGTTCAATACAAGAGGGATAGGAGGGCCCTGCTCCTTGGATCTTACAATCTAAGACAATCATACTTGTCCTGACATGGCCCCTCACACACAGCCATCACTGTGAAGTTGAGTGTACTGCTGTTTCTCCTCCCCATCTCTATGAGCTATTTATGCAGCTGAGAACAGAGGGTATGTGATCACTTATAAAAAAGGAAAGAAAAAGGTATTTATAATTTTTTTTCATAGATATAGAAATGTTTTGTCTTTCATTTTTTATTTTAAACTGAATGGGGTGTTTTACAATGCGAGGGTTTACATATACTTTAACCTTCATGTAACTTAACATTAACACTAACTTTTACACTAAGTAAGAAGAGAAAAAGGACGCCATCTTCTAAGTGTAGTTTATGGAATAGCAATAAATTCATATATGTATGCACTCACTGTGCAACATAACGTAACCGGCATATCAAATAACAGATCCAGCTGGGAAGTATAATCTGTAGGAAATATACTGCATATCTGCAGAGTTTGGCAGGGATGTGGCCGGACCAAGCAAAGTGAAGCAGGAAGGCAACTGGGAAGGTTGAAAGCGTGCGCTTGGTCTCCTTCAGCTATTGCAAGCAGAGTCAAGCAAGGAGGCATCTGGTCACTGTCGCAACAGGTGATGTCACATGAGGGGGTGTGGTTCAGGACAGCACCACCCCTTTCTCAAGCTAACCTTAACAAAAACCTTCACACTAACCCTCCCTGCAACCTAACCATTTCCCCGAACCCTCAACACTGATCCTCTCAGTAACCTAACATTAACTCAAACTTGGGCAGCACAGTGGCTAAATGGTTAGCACTTCCGCCTGGCAGTACTAGGGTCATTGGTTTGAATCCCAACCACAGCACCACCTGCCTGGAGTTTGCATGCTCTCCCTGTGCCTGCATGGATTTCCTCTGGGTACTCCAGTTTCCTCCTACACTCCAAAGACATGCTGGTAGGTTAATTGGATCCTTTCTAAATTGGCCCTGGTTTGTGTATGAATGTAAGTTAGGGACCTTAGATTGTATGCCCCTTGAGGGTTAGGGACTGATGTGAATGTACAACAAATATGTAAAGCGCTGCATAAATTGACGGTGCTATATAAGTACCTGTAGTAAATAAATAAACTTCACACTCCCTGTAACCTAACCTTAAAGCAGAGTTCTAGCTTCAAAAATTGTAGCTACAGACTTTCAAAATACAGCCACTTACCTGTCCCTTGGTCCTCACCATTGCTGGTTTCACCAGCTGTCTTCTCTCCCTGGCTCCGGCATCTTTAGTGTGGGCACCCGGCTGTGGCAGCTTGCGGCTTCACAGCTGGGTGTCCACTGCACATGCGCGAGAAGCACTGCGCTTTGTGAATGGCCCCGTAGTCTTCTGGGACCTGTCACATGACCCAGAAGACTATGGGGAGGGAGGACAACTTAGGCGATCGCAGCAGAAGTGGGAGTGGGTACCTGTCAAATTTGGGTATCCGTTCCCCAAAGGTGCCAATGCTTAATGGGAAGTGGGGGACACAGCAATAAAGCAGGACTTCCCCTTTTGGGTGGAACTCCACTTTAACACTAATAGGGTTGGACTGACAACTTATGAGGCCCCCGGGCAACAGGGGATCATGAGGCCCCTGTGTCCTTGCCCACACTCAAACCACACCCAAAAAAGCCTATGAAAAGGTAGCAGGGGCATCTCTTGGGGTCCCCTACTGACCCCGGGCCCTTGGGCAGTGCCCGAGTTCCCAAATGGTCAGTCCGCCCCTGAACACTAGCCATTCTAACCCTCTCTGTAGTCCTGCTGTTGTGTGTGCTAGGTCTGTGTTGTTCTGGGGTGGGGCACTCCCCAGAACAACACAGTGACACATATGTGCAGTTGCTGGGCTTTAAGGCCCACCCGTCATGCTGCTGCATATACACCTAACGCCATTGGGGTGAAACTACATATTTGGGGCCCTCATAATTGCCATAATTGTAGTGTGCCCTCCTGTAGACGTGCGAGCCAATGGGAGGAAGCACGGGGACAGTGATGTAAAGTACATTGTAATTGCAATGCCAAGGATCAGCAAAGAAACAGCTTGAAGACATAGGCCACCAGAAAGATAACCATACATGTTCTTTTTCCACAGTGTGGGTTTTGTTTACTTTTTATCCTGTGGTGACAATGTCACTTTAATCCCTTGATTGCATACTTACCTACTATGTTCTGCACCCTACCTCCACCAAAAGATGCCAGCACAGAGGTCTCTGGGCCACAAACTTCTGTTTTTTTGGTTCTGGCTAATGAAGATCACAGCAGGCAGCTTGTGGTTCCTATTCTTAGGCAGGACTTCCATCATTAAATGTTGGATGGGATGGACAGGTTCACTTTAAGACACGCCATTCAAAACTACTTGCTTTGCTGGAACAGCCTGTAACCGCTAATTATATATAACTCTTTAACTAATACATTTTACAAAGTACATATTTTAAAGAACTTTATGATTCTTTATTTAATGTGGACAAATTTTGCAACACTTTACAGCAGCGATCAGCTCTGCAATGAGTTTATTCTCATTGATCTGGGTCGTATAGGTGCATTACAGCTCTTTGAGTAACATGACGGAGCCAAGTTGTTCGTTACTATAGAAACCTCCCAGCCTATCACGAAGTGCAGTGAGATTCTATAAATTCATCAACACACATTTCTCACCAAGTTGTGCAGTCTCTGGCACTTAGAGGGATAGGTCATTACACAGCTGGCTGCTGGCTTCATACCATGCAGGGGTCGTCCAGAAGGCTTTCCACTGTGAACATCATCAACAACTTCCTCCATGGCCGCAGATATTCCACTACCCCTGCTGTCATCCCTCTCCAGAGAAGGCGCAACTCTGCCATTGAGGTCCTATCATCGTCCACTCACAGGGTCATGGTGGCCATGTCTTGTGTTAGCCCCGGAGATGTGAGTGACGACGTTCTTCAGATAAAGAGTTAAGTTTTGGTTTTTTTTTAATTTTTAGATTTCCCTTGAAGCTAAACAAGTGATTAATCAGTTTTAAGAGGTGTATGTCTTTTCATATGAAACAAGAACGTCATTGATGTTCTGCATCTTCCTGTATTCTTTTGTATTGATTCATGTGTCGAACTTATTGCAACTTTAAAGAGCAATTCTAGGCAGTCAATGAATTCAGTCAATGATCTGCCAATTCTGTCTAACAGGCATTGCAGCTATGTGGAAGACAGAAAGTATACTTGGTTTTCTTTTTCAGTTCTTATTTTATTGCAACATTTTACAGAGCTGCTCACATGTGGGCTGGGTGAGTCTGCTTCCTCTAGCCTGTGCTGTGTAGCTTCTTCTGTCTCTGCTTGCAGGAAGTCCAGCTATAGTAAAATCGTAAAACTTGTATTAATTAGAGTGCCAACGTTACAAACACCCTGGCGGGAAAGCGCCTCTTAGGAAAATGACTCACAGTTCAATGTGGTCAGATGTGGCTGGGGAGAGATGCCGACAGCGTCTGTTTCAGAGGGTGAAATGCGGCCTGGCCGCTCCGGTTGCAAGGGGGGGGGGGGACTTCTCTCCAAGTTAGCAAGTCCCTAGTCTGTCTCTTCTCATCTGGAACCTTTCACTACCACTATCTACTTTCTCTAGCAAGCGGGGTCCCTATCCCTACACTAGCCACTCTCAGAATGCCAAAACCCAGAGCCCATGGAGGATCAGGGGATAGAGGACACAAGCTGCAGCTGAAAGTGCAGCCAACAACACTGGACAGGAGACCTGCTGGAGGTGAGGAGAGTGCACATTTTGTCACGATGCCTCCACTTCCTGGCTTTATTGTGAGTACATGTTACCATGGAAATGGAGCCACGTGAAAAGCATGCACAATTGCTGCTGCTGAGGTGTGTGCCCATTCACCAAGGGCGGCCACATGTTCAAGGGAAGGAGGGACTGAAAGAGGGGGCGAATTGCAGGAGTTGTATCCACTCCCTCAAAACTTCCAAACACAGAATACACCATTACTGGCTCCTTCCTGACCCTTTCACCAGCACAAACTAAAAGACTGAGGAAGGGAAGAAAAGGTATGGAACTGTACTATGTTTTTTTTTGCTTTCCCATACTTCTCTTTTAAAGTCAAACTTTAAGGGCTGTTTTAAATCTGACTGGTGGCTGTAAGCAGGGCTGCTGTTTAAGCCAGGAGGCCCCGTAGAGCCAACGTAACCAGGCCCTCCACCCCACCCACCAAAAAAACCCCACAGTTTACGAAGCTTCAGTTATGAATGAGCACAGTGAGTGATTGGTACAGATCACTTATTGTGTTCATTCAGGAAAGAAAGGGGTTGATAAATGTGACCTATTTACCAGACCCTTCCCCTACTCTCTATCCTGTAGGATCCTATTGAGTGCTTGCAGCTGCTGATGGAAAGGAGAGAAGGGAAGCCAGCAGAACTGTGGGGGCACACAGGGGGACCTGGGCAGCATGGGGAAATGTATGGTGCATAGAGAAGGGAGGGTTATGGGTGCAGCAGGGTGGCAATTACTGGAACCAATCCCCTGCATGGCTCTCTCTGCAGCAGCTGAATGCCAGATTTCAGCTGCTGTAGAGAAAGCAATACAAGAGATCTGTTCTAGTAGTTCCCCCCATCGTGGTGATCACTCTCCCTGCCCACATCTGATTTCACCCAGCTGCCTGGGCCCCCCTGCTGGCCTGGGCCCTGTACGGGAGGACTGGTGGTACCCCCTTATCCACGGCCCTGGCTTTAAGAAACATCTTAGTACTTACTATGATACTTTACACTTTCTGTGTATGAGAGACAGCCAAGAGCCTGTTGTTAGTGTCCTTAGGAAGTCCTGTCTTAAAGTGGGACTGAATTGAAAAAGTAAAATTCACGATCAGACAGCTCTGCAATAAAATGAAGTTACCAGCATGTTCACACTAAGCTGTGCATGTATAGCTCACTGTGCATTCTCAGCACGCCTGCGTGCCAGAGTGAATGATCTCCAGTGTGCATGTACAGGAGCTAACTCTTCCTGACCCAGCCAATCAAGCTGGCTGAAGACCTTGCACCAGTAAGAAGCTGGGGGAAGATGCAAGCATGGCATCACCTGCCTGGAGTTTGCATGTTCTCCCTGTGCCTGTGTAGGTTTCCTCCGGGTTCTCCAGTTTTCTCGCACACTCCAAAGACATGCTGGTAATGATAATTGGATCCTGTCTAAACTGGCCCTAGTATGTGTATGTATGAATGTAAGTTAGGGACCTTAGATTGTACACCCCTTGAGGGATAGGGACTGATGTGAATGCACAATATATATGTAAATTCATGGGTAAATTGATGTCACTATATAAGTACCTGTGATAAGTTGCATCGCTGGAGTGAAGGTAAGTACCTGTGGATTTTAGTTCCACTTTAAAAGTGAAAACAGACTTTGTTGGTGCATCCAATTCAAAGTCATATAATATATAATTAATGAAAAGGAGAGCAAGTGTGAAGACAAGATGTTGTAACTGGAAGATCTTTAATGAGTCATTATCATGGAGTGTCCTACCACATTCAAGTCACTGAATATCCCTTGGAGTACCTAAATCAATCATTAAGAAACGGAAAGAGTATGGTGTCTGTCTTCCTATCTAGAGCAGGCTTTACAACCAGAAAGCTAGTGAGATAGACCAGCAAGGGATATCAGCTCTGAAGGAGCTACAAACCTCAGTGGCTAAGATTGGAAAGGCTATTCTTACAAAAACTGTTGACTGGGTACTTCACCTTTGGCAGCTTTATAGGAGAGTGTCAAAATGAAAGTTACTGTTAAATGAAATTCACACATTTTGCATACAATTTTGCTGGATGCATGTGGGATTCTATGGTCTGATATGGCCAAATTTGAGCTTTAAACTGCCAGGCTAACTGCCACACCACATGGCACATCAACATAAACAAACCACCCACACTGTGAAGCATGATGGTGACAGGATGATACTTTGAGGATGCTTCTCTGCAGGTGACACTGGGGGGCATGGGAGAGTAGATAGTGGAACAAATACAGCAATATACAAGGAAATCCTAAAGGTAACCTGAAGTCTGCAAGAAACCTGAGCCAAAGGAGAAGGTTTATTATAAATCATGGCAATGACCCCAAGCATAAAGCCAAACTTCACAAGAATGGCTTAAAAGAATAATGTTAGTGCCTAGAAGCAAAGTCAGAAGCCAAATTTCAATCCAATAAATTATGGGAAAATGCCTGTTCACTGCTGATCCCTATGCAACCTAATGTTTTTGCAAAGAGGAATGATGAAAAATTGCAGCATTGCAAAGCTGACAAAGATCTATCCAGTTATGTTGTGTTTTTTTTTTAATTAAATAATTAATTTAAATCACATTGCAGAGATAGTTAGCTAACTAGTGTCAGAAATGCATAATTAAATCTGCCCACACATCAATTTTATATGACAATGTGACAATGATACAGTATATAAATACTTCAAAGTAGGTGATTTCTTACAGGTACTGTATGTGCATTACTTTAAGGGGTTCCAGAAAGCTGCTTGAAATGAAGAAAGTAATACGTAAGAAATCTCATTACATATTTTCTCATTACAGGTTTAGTTCACCTTTACAAAAAATGGCCAATGCATAATAGGGGTGTCTGTAGATAATAATAAACTGTGTAGCTCTGACTAGAGTTGAATAAAGCTCTTGAGATAGGTGTAGGACTGTAGGCCATTTACAAACTTTCCTCAGCCTGACCTGAATACTCTCAGGATGTTGCTAGGACGTTGCTAAGTGAGGCCTAGCCATTATTGCTCACCTCCACCATCACAGGAGAGAGCTCTCTTTCTGATTTAAACCCCCTCACATGCTCTTTCTCTCTCCTGATGCAGTAGCTCTGAACTCAGAATTTGAGAGCTCAATAAAGCGAAGGAGGGAGGTAAGCAGCAGTAATGACTAGGCCTCCTTTAGTAACGTCCTGGGAGTTTTCAGGTCAGGCTTCATGAGGTACATAAATGGCCTTCCCCCTATAGCATGGTCATTATTTAACGTTGGTCAAAGCTGTACAGTTTGTTTTTATCTACAGACACCCCTTATCTGTATAGGCAGTTTTTGGTAAAAGTGAACTAACCATTTTCAGGTTTTCTGTAAATGCTTTAGAAACGCTTGCCTAATTTGATGTTGTACAGATGAGCATGAAGCTAAAATGATACAGTGCCCATGTGTACAGCAGTCTGTGTTGAATGGAAGCCTTATTTCTGCATGGCGGCTCTACATATACTTTGTCTATCTTTATGTATTTTTACTAAAGTATGAATAATAGTTACATAAGACCGTATTCTAAGCAGTTACTATTATGTGCTTTGTTTATGTAGACTTGTTTTATACACCTCAAGTTGTTTAAAAAACCCACCTGTCATTTAGATTAGAGTCACGGTCTCATTCTGCATAATCTCCTTTAATGTTGTGGATTGAGAAGGACATTTTTTTCTTTTATATCCAGCTCGGAACATTGCACATCTTATAATCTCCATAATTTTCTATTGTGAATAGAAACTGTGTCCTGACATTTGTTATGTGTTAACACAGTTAACACGCAGTAAGTGCTTGATGTGTGGGCAGATTTTTATTCCTTGCTGAAAGCCAGTTTTTTGCATTTTAACGCTTTCACTGCCCAGTCCTGTGCTTCACTTTTAAACTCAGGTGGCTGGACCATTTTTGCAATTTTTCAATTGTTTTTTTTTCCCTTATAACTTTCAGAGTTTGTGACCACCTCCCCTCAAACTCTACATTTTCTGAAACCTTAGAACATATTGAGGAAAAAATAAGGTGCCCGGGATTTTTTTTAGACCCAAATGTTTATTGGGTCTACATTTTGTGCAAATGTTTTATGAAAACAATATTTTCACTAAAAATACATTAATATCATTATTAGGGGATAAAAACACAGCAAAACTTACAAAATTCCTGCTAAATTCCTACTAAGGCCTCGTTGACAGGGTGTGTATTAAAGTGCAGGCCCGTGGAGGGTTGTGTTACCCTGCAAGGGGAGGCACAGGAGTTTTGTGCAGGCATTCTGATTCATGTCAATTTGGACACCACTGCTACATGGATGCAATCGCTGTTCCCAATCTGTCATCTTTGCAGGCGTGGGTGCATGACCCTGAAAGCAGACGTGAGTTCAGGGATGTGCAACTGTACCCACACGGATGTCAAATTGGGATCAGTCCCTGTGTCCCAATTGACATCAATGGGACAGCCTGCATAGGGATGCAAGGGACACCTGTAAATGCCTGTGCAGATAAACACTCCCTTTCATGAGCGTGTGTTGTAGTATGCCCCATGTGAATGAGGGCTTACTGTTTTTTTTGTTTTTTTTTACTTTTGATATTTTATACAATTTTTTTTCTGGGGGGGGAAGAAGGATGGGACTTTGTTTAGATTTTTGAGACAGCAAAAGGGACTAAAGACATAGTGTCCCTTTCCCTGCAGCCTCAGCTGCACTGCAGATGAATGAATTGGAAGCCTCATACAGAGGCTCCTGTTCATTCACAAACTGATGCATGGTAAAAACTGTTTAGTATGCTTCACTGATGAATGAACACAGGAGTGATTGGTACTGATTGCTCACTGTGTTCATTCAGGAAAGGAAGGGGGCTGGTAAACCCATGTTTACTAGGCCACCCCCTTCCCCCCCCCCCGCTCTCCATCCTTATGCAGGCCGTAGATGGGGAAAAACCGGCCGAAAATTCATCCAAAAGAATAATCGGCCGATTTTCGGATCGTTAGTGGCTGAATTGGTCGGCCGGGTTTCTTGATTTTGACACTTTTTTTAATCAGTCATGTTGGGAAAAAAAAGGTCCGATTATGCCCATCGGCTGATTTTCACGGCAATGATGGGCAAATCGGCCGATCTTTTTACCGATTAAACACTTACATATACCAACTCAAGTTACTAGCCTTAAGTGATACATAGAGATTCATTAAATCAGATGACATAAATTGCCCTCTACAGCCATTCGAACTGCAAAATTTACACAGCATTTCTCAGCTCCAGTAGGCAGGGGTCGGGTATCTGACATCACACACTGCACAGCATAAAGTAAGGGGCTGAGTGTAAGCTGAGAGCTGAGGGGAGGGGAAGGACACAAAGGTGATAGCTACAGGGGATAATCTGATGGAGGTGACTCAAGTGAGGTTTGAAAGATTTCTTAAAGGGTGGGGGCTGACTGAACATACTGGAGTAGGGAGTTCCAGAGGATGGGAGAGGTTCTGGAGAAGTCCTGGAGGCGAGCATGGGAGGAGGTAACAAGGGAGCTAGAGACCAAGATGTCTTGGAAGGAGTGGATGATTTGGACAATATCTGTAGATGAGGTTGGTGATGTAGCCAGGGACAATGTTGAGGATAGCTTTGTACGTTGTGGTTAGTATTTTGAATGTTATACGTTGGGTTAGTGGAAGACAGTGAAGGGATTGGCAGAGAGGGGCAGCAGTTGCTGATCGGTTGGCAAGGTATATAAGTCTAGCAGCAGCATTCATAATATACTGAAGGGGATAGCATGTGTAAAGGTAGGTCAGTGAGGAGGGAGTTGCAGTACTCAAGGCGAGATATAACCAAGGTGTGGATACGTTGTTTTTGGTGTTGTTAGTCAGGGAGGGGCGAATTCTGGAAATGTCGTGGAGGTTGAGGTGGTAGGATTTAGCCAGTGTATGGATGTGGGGCCTGAAGGAGAGGGGCCAGAGTCTAGGGTTGCACCTAGCACCCTGGCATGTGGGGGCAGACCAATGGTTGTGCCGTTGATCTTATTGGTAGAGTCATGAGTGGGGGATCGGAGAGGGGGAACTATCACAAGCTCGGTTTTAGAGAGATTGAGTTTGAGGAAGTTGTGTGACATCCATACTGATATGTTTCTCAGTAGATTTGTGATACTTGAGGAGATTGAGAGGGTGGGTTTGGGAGTAGAGAGATAGATATGGGTGTTGTCAAAGTAGAGCTGGTATTGGAAGCCATGGGAGGTTTTCAGTTGGCCCAGGGAGGAGGTTTAGCTAGAGAACAGGAGGGGTGCAAAGATAGAGCCTTGGGTAAGTGGAGAACCAGGAAAGAGCAGAGTCACGGAGGCCAAGGGAGTGGAAGAGGACAAACAGTGTGGCCAGACAGTGGGGAAAGCAAATAAAATTAGGATGCATCACTAGAGGGGTCACCAGCAGGAGGAAGAAGGTCCTGATTCCTCTATATAGATCTTTAGTTAGACTTCATTTAGAATACTGTGTCCAGTTCTGGAGACCTCACTTACAAAAAGATATTGATAAAATAGAATGAGTCCAGAGCAGGGGCGGACTGACAACTCATGGGGCCCCCGGGAAATAGGGGATCATGGGGCCCCTGTGTCCTTTCCCCACACTCAAAGCACACCTAAAAAAGCCTATAAAAGGTACCAGGGGCATTTCATGGGGACCCCTACTGACCCTGGGCCCTCGGGCAGTGCCTGAGTGCTCGAATGGTCAGTCCGCCCCTTGTCCAGAGATGTATTGGTTTAATTTTGCCAATCCAACAGAACAAAGTAAAATCTGACTTGTGTATGCTCTTTACACTTTCACCCCCATTCTAAATTAAATCTGTGATATAAAACCTACGAACAGCACCCTTTAACATACATGCTGCAAGGACAATTTGAGACTATGTTTTACTCACCTCTGTTTGGAGTTAGGGTGATTGTATTGATCCATTGGATTTCAACAGCGATGTTTTCCTGTAGGTAGCAGAACAATTAGTCCTCATGCACGCTGGATGTTTTTACAGCTGCTGTTTCTGGCTTTTGCCGTTTTCTTCTACAGCCAGTAAACTCCCCAGCATGTTATCCTATGTGTCCATGCACACACAGACTGTAATTTTTTTTGCGGGCGCGTTTTTTGGCTTAAAAACCCCCAGAACTATTGGGTTTCTAGAGAAGTTTTTTTAGCTGTAAAAACGCTCTAACGCTGAAAAATGCGGCAACACGCGGTAAACCGGCGGTTTTGGACTTCTTTTAAGCAAAAAGAAAACTTTTTTTTGTAAAAAAAAACCCGCTAAAAACTTCAAACGCAAAAAAAAGCAGCAAAACGCAGCTACACACTAATGCATAAACATTGAAAAACTCATGTTTTTAACGTGACTTTACACAGCTAACGTTATTAAAACACCCCGTGTGCATGGATGGAGGACAACTCTGTGCTTAATAATTACATTATTAAATGCCATTATATTGATTCAGGAACTGGCAGACGTCCAACTTCGAAATACACCAAAGTGGGCGAGCGTTTGCGGCATGTCATTCCGGGTCACATGCAGTGTTCCATGACGTGTGGTGGACGCGCTTGTAAATATGAAAACCCCACTCGATGGAGCGAAGAGGAGCAAGCTATAAAGGGGCTATACTCCTCCTGGTAAGTTCAACATTGACTAATGCTGCTCATATCATGTGGGATGTATTGTATTAAAGAATAGCTAAAACAGCAGCAAATTTATTAATGTATATGCAGCCTGACAGCATTACAGTAATAGATATGGAGGGTTCAGTTGGACTTTAAAGTAGTACTAAAAGCTAGATGGGTTTCTCTTCATACCCCCTGTCCACAAACATTTGCCTATGGTCCCGTGTCACCACCACTGGCTCTGGGACCATTTGCACCATTCCCACAACTTCCGAGTCATAGGAGAGAGACTCAGGAAGTGAAAGGCTGCTGGGACAAGGGGGTAGGGGCATGGACTGCCAGGTGCTGTGTGTTTCAGTGGATGCACACAGCCCCAGTTGGGGGCACGCATACACATGTATCACTTTAGCAACCTCGCTAAAGGAGACACCTGCTAAATATAAGGCAATTGAAGGGGTTTAGAAACTTGCCTACCCACAGAAAGGGACAGTTTTAAGGAAGAAGGCTAAGCATAACATGTAAACTATTAAAACAAAATGTTAGAAAATGGAAGCTTGTGAGCTGCTATGTGAGTGATAAATTACTACTAAGTGTTGATTGTGAATCTCCTGCACCTAACACATACTCATACTAGTGTGCCAAACCAATACTATTTACCAAATGCTGCTGCGCTTCACTTATAAATGCTCAAAGTAAGTAATATATGCATAGAAATTGCTAATATTTATCTCAAAAAGATATGAAGATAAAACAAGTGAATCACCCAAAATATCAAGTTCCAAAAAAGCAGTGACCATATAATTGTAAAAAACAATTGTCAAAAAAGGTCCATATATAAACTCCTTCAAACGTGCAAAGTTCACTGTAGAAAGAAATATCCCGTGCCCTTTTTATTTGATTTTTGTGTGAAAAAAAAAACTTGCATTTGTGTGCTCCCCCACCGGTGTTGCTCTCACCTCATGTATATGACAAAACTGTTAAGTAAGGTCATATAACGCTTGTGTCCCTTTAATTGGGCCAAAATATGGATGGGATGGTATCTTGCTGTTTGGGGTCCTTCTCCACTCTATCGATTGGTTTCCCTTCCATGGTGGTTGATATAGAGGAATGAATCAAATCGTAGTTTATCATCCTTTTAAAACCGTTTTATTAACCACCTCCCGTCCGGCCGTTGTATATAAACAGCCGGATGGTGGCACTGCAGGGTCGGGTGGCCGTTTATAAATGGCCTCCCCACACCCTGCTTGTGCGTGCTCCCTGGGAGCACGCAGCACCACGATCCGGTGCCCGCTGTGTCCTCCGGACACAGTGAAACACAGATCGTCGGACGGGACCTCTGTTCAAGGTCCCGATCATGTGATCACTGATTGGCCAATCAGTGATCACATGCAGAGTAGTAAGCAAGATGTCACTTGTGACATCATTGCTTACTACCTGTAAAATCTGTGAATGATCACAGAGGTCACATGGTACAAGGCTATTCACAACAGCCTTGCACCATGTGACATACAGTATAAAAAAAAAAAAAACTAAAAATGTAAAAAAAAAAAAATGTAAAAAAAAAAGTTTAAAAATTATAAATTTTGGTTATAAACTAATTTGGCTTATTTTATTTTTTTTTTACTAAAAAGATAACGGAATACATTTTGGCCAAGATTTATGATGAAATATTATTTATTTGCAAAATTTTATAAGAAAAACACTTTTTTCAAAATTTTTGGATTTTTTCATTTACGTAGCAAAAAAAATAAAAATCCCAGTGGTGAATAAATACCACCAAAATAAAGCTTTATCTGTCTCAAAAAAATGGTAAAAAAAATTCATATGGGTACAGTGTTGCATGACTGCACAATTGTCATTCAAAGTGTGATAGCGCTGAAAGCTGAAAATTGCCCTGGACAGGAAGGGGGTAAAAGTGTCCGGACAGGAAGTGGTTAATAAAAGTATTGCACTCACATATACTCTGTACATAAGCCGCTTTGTGCACAAAATGTGTCCTCCAGATTTTTTTCAGTAGAGGACACATTTTGTGCACAAAGTGGTTTATATACAGAGTATATGTGAATTCAATGCTTTTTTTTTGGAAATTGATATTGGTTGATTCACTTGTTTTATCTTCATATCTCTTTGAGATAAATATTAGCAAATTATATGCATATATTATTTACTTTGAGCATTTATAAGTGAAGCGTGGCACAATTTGGTAAATAATATAAAAAAGTGTTTAATATATAAAGAAGGGAAAACATCCTGCAGTTACATTGTTGTTGTTTGAAGGAGGCTTTCTTTCTGGGAACTTTTTAGATGTGCTTGGTAATCACTGATCTTTACAAAAACATAACTGCAGGGATGCATCAGACAAAAACCTTCTGTGTTTAAAGATGAATTGCTGATGGCTTTTACCTATCAGACATGCAAGTCGAACGGACGCTAATCATTAAATAGCCAGTACTTATATAAACAGATACAGCAAAAACTGTAAGATAAAACCTGATTTTTAAAAAGAAAAATGTTTTATTACTGTTTCAGGATCACAGATAAGATACTTGCAATGGCAAGACCCTCAACAGAAATCATTGAGAAATATAATATCATCAAGCAGTTCAAGAGGTAAGGTTGTTGTCTAATAAGTGAAATGAATACCATCTCTGTATTCTATATTTGTAGTTTTGATGTTTTACTGATTCAGTTTGGGGCTCCTGTAGATGGTTGTTGTCAGTGGTTTGCTTTGTGCATTTGAATGAAGATCTGCTCAACCAAATGCGTTTGAAAGCAAAAGTCTGCTTTGAAACTGCTGCATCCATCTCAGTCTCTATGGTAATATAACCAAGGGGTTGATGTACTAAAACTGGAGAGTACAAAATCTTGTGCAGTTGTACATGGTAGCCAATCAGCGTCTTACTTCAATTTGTTCAATTAAGTTGACAAAAAAAATGGAAGTTAAATTGTTTCTATGCAGAACTGCACCAGATTTTGCACTCTTCAGTTTTAGTAAATCAACCCCCATGTATATGATAAGGTTCTCTCTTAATCAATGTGGTTCAGTGTAGACTACTGTATTTTATTTACTTTTCCAGTATGGAAATTACCCACTGATCAAACAAGTGTACATCGCATATTTTTCATGTTATCTTCTTCAAGCCCTGATAAAAAGGGTCTATTTGAACCCTGAAAGATGTTGGCATTGTACCTTTCAATAAAATTAACTTCTGGACATTACATAATATGCCTGGTACCTTCTTCACCTCCTTAGATGACTGAGGTTCCACCTACATACTCCCTAAGAAGGATCTTATTGGCACCTAATCTGAAACACATTCTAATTTTCATGGATTTGAAATGGTGGTACATGTAGGGGTGTACTTATCTTTTTCCATGTGACAAATCTGCATTTTTGTTCATTTAGATCAGTGATCTCCAAACTGCTGCCTGTAGGCTAGATGTGGCCCTTTGCCTGACTTTATCTGGCCATTGTGGCACTATTCCTCACACTGATACAATGCACTTTTCCTCTCACTGACACCATTGATGGAGCACTATTCCGTCCGCTGATACCAACAATGGGGCATTATTCCTTACCACTGATACCATCAATGGGGCACTATTCCTTCCATTGTCACTGACGATTTGGCACTATTACTTCCACTGACACCAGGGATGTGGTACTTTTTCTCCCACTGACACTCATAATGAGGCACTATCTCGCCCACTGAGGTCAATTATGGGGCACTATTCCTTCCAGTGATACCAACAATGGGGCATTATTCCTTCCACTGATACCAACAATGGGGCACAATTCCTTCCACTGTCACTGACGATTTGATACTATTACTTCCACTGACACCAGTGATGTGGTACATTTCCTCCCACTGACACCCATAATGAGGCACTATCTCGCCCACTGACGTCAGTGATGGGACATTGTTCCTTCCAGTGATACCAACAACGGGGCATTATTCCTTCCACTGATACCAACAATTATTCCTTCCACTGTCACCGACGATTTGGCACTATTACTTCCACTGACACCAGGGATGTGGTACTTTTCCTCCCACTGACACCCATAATGAGGCACTATCTCGGCCAATGAGGTCAATGATGGGGCACTATTCCGTCCACTGACATCAATGTTGAGGCGGTTTTCCTTCCACCGACACCAGTGATGAGGCACTATTCCTCCAAGTGACATCAATGATGGGGCACTACTCCTCCTCCTACTGACCACAGGTGCTATGTAATTTTGTTAATCCAACCGACAAGCATGGCTGGACATTGTTTATTACGGGGCATATTCTACTCCCACTGGCCACAGTCCAGCCCCCCTAGAGTCTGAAGGACAGTAATGTGCTCATTAGTTTATAAAGTTTGGAGATCCCAGATTTAGATTATGAGAATAGTTGGTAAAGTTGAAGTTTTCCTTGTGCCTGTTTTATTGGGAGAAACTAAAAATGTAATACCATAGCTTAATTGGTTTGACACATTTTTTATTTCATAGACAACTCTATAGTGAAAATAGGGCAGACCTGGATAATAAATACTTTATTTACCTCTATTTCTGAAGCTGTGGAATAAAAACAGTAATTAACCTGCAACGTCCTGGAGAGCACGCAAGCTGCGGGAATTCTTTAGAGCAAGAAAGTGGGTTCACGTATCTTCCAGAGGCCTTTATGGAAGCTGAAAGTAAGTTCGATCCTGCTGTTTGTTCTCATTAATTATAAAAACAGCATCAATTTGTGCCACTCGGCACTGGGTAAGGGGCTGTTGTGTAAGGTCCAACAGTCTGTTACGAAAGTCATTACTACATGTAATTGGAAAGTACACTGTCTCACTGTGGTGTCACAGATGTTCGAAAACATTTTGATTATGCCAACCTTGCTGTTATATTGACAATGTAAAAACAGTATTCTCACTTTGTTAATTTAATTTTTCTTAATGCATGAAATCATAGTGTGCATTGAAGATTTACTGGCAGTATCAGTTTTCTTTTTTCAGAATTTACTTAATTTCACCTGGTGATCTTGCCAGTAACAAACTTTGTGTCCTAAAGTGATAATGTTCATTCATCCTACTGTATCTATGGAGGACAGCATTATCACCCTAGGACAGAACCACAGGACATCTCACCCTCACCTCTTCTCTATAGCATGAGGAAGGTGTTCTGCAGTCCAAAGAGATAGCTAGGAACAATATAACTGATAAGACTGCAGCACAGGCAGAGAACTCAGGATGTTATCTGTTCACAAGATTTCTGGCAGGATCAGCATGTCATTTTTTGCACTTAGAGAACAGATATAACAGTTTTTCTCTTTGTGTTCCTAAGCCAGCTGGTTGAGCTTTAGACTGGCCAGATATGGATTGAAATTTGATGGTTCTGCCAGGATCGGTTGCATTTCAGTCTATTTGTGGCCACTGTTGTTGAACATTAATCAATCTACCAATCAACTACTGTTCAACCGCCCTTTCCGTATTTTTTTGCTCAATCAGAGCCACGGGCAATAAGCTGCAGCACCGATCTGTGTATTCTGACAGCAGGGGGAGTCTCCTTGTGGTCAGAATGCAATGACACAGTGGGAAGGATTCCCCCATGCACATTACATGTGTGGATATGGGAATTGGGTCAGTTTTTTTTTTTAGTTCAACCTACTGGTTGGACAAAAGAAACTGACCCGTGTATGGGCAGCTTTAGGCTCCATTCCATATTTTTAAAGGATTCAGTTTTCTTTTTTGATAGTCTTTTGTTCAAAGAACTCAGTAGTAACTCATGCCCTAACATGAGTCTCAGATAAAAGTTTCAGTCAGACAAATTGTTCTTTCCAGCAAGCAGCTCTGCTGTGTGTCTCTTTGCTTTACCCATAGTGCTCTGAGAATCCTTTGTCTTGTCAGCAGTTTTATATACATCAAGGATAGGCAACCTTGGCAATCCAGCTGTGGTGAAACTACAAAGCCCATCATGTCTTTGTGTCAGGGAGCCATGCCTATGAGTGTTCTCATGGGACTTGTAGTTTCACCACAGCTGTAGTGTCAAGATTGACTTCCCCTGATATACATTATATGGTGAATAGTTTGGGGACATATGCCAGTAACACCTACTATATGGCCAGTTATGTGAATACTTTCACAAATGATTGAATTCAGGTGTTTTCAGTGAAGGATACTCTTGATGCTACAGTGTACAGTACAAAGGCATTTTAGTCATTTGTGTGTTTACATTCCTGTGGCAGCAATTTGGATAGGACCCTTTTTTGTTTGTACATGGCTATGCACAGGGGCGGACTGACCATTTGGAAACTCGGGCACTGCTCGAGGGCTCGGGGTCAGTAGGGAGCCCCATGAGATGCCCCTGGTACCTTTTTCATAGGCTTTTTTGAGTTTGGGCAAGGACACAGGGGCCCCATGATCCCCTATTGCCCGGGGGGCCCATGAGTTGTCAGTCTGCCCCTGGCTATGCATTAAGCAAGGTTAATAAAGACATGATTTGATGAGTTTTGGTGTTGAGAATTTTGAGTGGACTGCACAAAGACTTGAGCTCAACACTAATGAACACCTTTAAGTCGGTTGTAAATAAGGTCTTCTCTTCCAACATCGGCACCTTATCTCTTAAATGCTTTTTTTACTGGATGGGCACAAATTCTCAGACACAATGCAAAATCCTGTGGTAAGCCTTCCCAGAAAAGTGGAAGCTATTATAGCCACAAAAGGGGATGTGGGGAACTCCATATTAATGGACATGGTTTGGGAATGGGATGTCAAACAAGCTCATATAGCTGTGGTGGTCCACAAACTCATATTAGGAGTATACTGCCTGCTAAATTTGGTGAATCAGGAATCAGTGAGCAAAGGGAAGTGTTGCAACATTCAGATTCATGTTTTGCAGTATATTACTTATCCAAAAGATGTAACTTTGTGCTTTTTTTTATTATTGCACCATCAACAGAAATGTTGAGAAAAGCTAGAAGATTGTGAAAAATGGCCATCTCCCTAAACTGTATACTGTTGAAATATGGATTGATTATGTCATCAATTGATTGTTGTAAACAGGGTGGATTTGATTTAAATCAAACTGATTTAAATCACGATTTAAATCACTAGTCAGTAAGGCTTGATTTAAATCCTAGTTTTCTATATAGACTAATTCTTGCTGGTATAACTTTAATATGCAAGTAGATGAAGATTTTTAGAATAACAACTTTTCATATTAGTTTTTTTATCCCCAGTTTAATAGGTTAATCATTCATATTTGGACAACTTTTCTGTTGTACTTAGGAAGGAGAAAAATAATTACCTTAATAATAACAATTTAAATAGATTTATTCATCTGAAACAATAACATTCCAGCATATGTGATTTGCTTAAACAAACATCCATGTTTGTTAACTAATTTGGCTAAACAAAATATATATATTTTAAGAAACGTAGACTGTCAGCCCCTTCCTCCTCACACTTAGTTTCACTTTCTTCTTGTGCAGATCTATTCCACTCCAAACAATCAGAAAAATATTGTTTCTATTCTATTCACTGAACTTCTTGAAACTTAGCACTGAAGGGGTTGATTCTGTATTCATAGGTTTGTAGAAGTTAGGATTAAGGTCTTTTTATTAACTGTTCATGTTATAACATTTTTGCTGTGAAGAAGAGGCATGTGATCTCCGCTGAGTCAAATTCAGTTTTGATAACTGCAAAAGTAAACCGAGCATCTGTGATAATATCTTGTAGGCAGAGAAACTGCCCAATAATCTTACAAAAACCTCTGGAAGAGCATGACATTGTGAATGGATTAATGGAATTTATTTACCAAAAAAATTAAACATATACAGCCTTATTCTACATAATTAAAAAACTAATCTTTATTTCATGATGGAATAACCTTTGGATGGTAATATATTTTCCTCAAAAAGCATTTTATTCAAAAAAATCTGATTTAAATAAAAAAAATCCAATTTAAATAAAAAAAATCCGATTTTTTTGATTTTTTTAAAAAAAATCATTGATTTTTTCCACCCTGGTTGTAAACATTAATATTGATTGTAATACAAATAATAATAATAACTAGCATTATTGTTAGTAGTGATGGTGTTATAGCAGTAGTTTTAATACAACTTTAACAAGTATTTCAAGCCACTGGAATTAATAAAGAAGCTCTTTCAAAAATATATTGTAAGCAATTCTGAAAAAAAAAAAAAAACTGTTAAGAGCTTGTTATGCTTCATTTATTTTGATGTCTCTGAATCTTTTTTATAAGCTTTTGTGTTGTCACCTAATGTCGCTGATGAATTTCACAAGCCTTTTATGATTAGATTTTCCACATCTGCTCCTCACTACAGTATTGTGTTATGACCCTACATAACGGTTTTGTATTAGTAATTTCTAATTAATATGACAGCTAGATGCAAGCTGGATTGAACAGAATACAATAAAACTCTTGTAACAGCCTAGACACAGTGAGTACTCTGCTTGTGACGCACCCCGTCAAATGCAGAAGTCACTTATTTCTGCTTTAATGTAATAAATCACTCATCTCTTTCAGTTTATTTTTACAATTTTGGATGGAAAGACTATGGTGTTGCTTCCCTGACCACAATTCTTGATATGGTGAAAGTTATGTCGTTTGCCTTACAAGAAGGAAAAGTAGCGATTCACTGCCACGCCGGCCTAGGACGGACAGGTAAGACAAGTTTAAACAGACATTGGGTTTGATTTACTAAAAACAAATAGACTGTGCACTTTGTAAGGGAATTTGCACCAGAGCTTAGTAATAAGATGCAGCTTCACTTTGCAAAAAATACCCAATCACATGCAAGGGAAATAAAAAACAGTATTTTTGCTTGCATATGATTGGATGATGACAGTCAGCAGAGCTCCCCCTCATTTACTAAGCTCTTTAACAAATGCACTTGTAGAGTGCAACTGCACTTACAAAAGTGCACAGTCTATTTGCCTTTAGTAAATCAATCCCGTTATCTTTTAGTAGCCTTAGACTACAGTAGGTTTAGACTACAGCCAATGGTAGTAAGTTCCAGTGCTTTGATTATATTTTGAACATAATTCATACACTTGGGTGCATTCTTGTAATTTATATAAGGTACTACAATAAAAGATTGTTTGGATGTTTGATCATGAAGGCGTGAGTGTTTAAAAGAGAAGTTCAGGAATAGTAAAAAAACATTTTTTGAAAAATCGTATTCGCCTAGATAGCTGCAACACCAGTCTGATGCTGCAACTGTTCCCCCAGCTGGCTCTACCCCAAGAACTGAGTGATCCATCCCAACTGATGGGTTAGTTCTCTCGTCCCCTTAAGGCAGAGAGCTGTGACTGTCAGTCTCTGGCTTTGTGCTCTGCCCCTTCCAGCGCTTACCAGGCTACGGAGGGGGAAGGAGGGGCTGGATCAGGCTCTCAGCTCAGCTCTCATTCAGGATCTTTTCAGAGCCTGGACCAACTCAGTGACGTCACCTGCAGCAGGGTTTAGCCCGCTGTCGGCTAAAAACTGGTCACAGGACGGCAGAGTGAACTGCACTCCTGGGATCCATAGGAGAAGTATAGTCAGAATAGCTTTGGCTGTAATTGTTCTTTAATTTGTAAGGCCCATGTAAAGCAAAACTCAGCCAAAAATAAAAATCTTAGGATATTGAGTGTCCTTGTGTCCATAAGGTTTCCACTACTTCCCAAGGAAGGGCGGCACATGCATTCCAGCACACCCACCAGGTCACTACTGGTCAACAGCTCAAGGTATCAGTCCGGTCCTCTTGGAGAGTTGGTTGCTGTTCCATATGACTTTGTTCAAGTCCTCAATTATGCTACGTGACGAAAAACTTTCTTTCATGGAAACCCTGAGATGATGGCCCTTCGTGTGCCTGTGTCGGCGTCCCGGAGTGCACTGAAGTGCTGATGGGAGCAAGGAACGATTTCTGACTGTGAAGTAGCGGAAACCTTATGGACACAAGGACACTCAATATTTCTTGAAACTTGGCCCAAGCGGACCGGTAGAAAAACAGCATTACTAATTACTGAGTGCTATTTCTGGTTGGCTACCTGCCCAAAGTCCATGATGTTCACAGTACACCTAGATTTATCATAACCTGTAGTTGGACAAGCTGCTCCCTAACATTGTCAAGTGTATTCATCAAGGTCCTCACAGCTTAGGTTATCTTATGTTTGTTTCTTATTGCACCGCACTGACCACCTAGGGCCCGGCCACGCATTTGGAGATGCCCTTTTGGGCCTCTACACACTAGGGCATTATAAGTGCACTTGCATTTTTTCTTGATCATTGGGACCACAGGGATCCCAGGTTCACATAAGGAGGTTACCTTAGAAACGATTTCCTCCACTGCAAGCAGCGGATTGCTGTGGTAAGCTTTCAATATGTGAATCTATATGCGTCTGGACATATTTTATTTATTTTTTTGTTTGTCTATTGTGTTTTGTCAATTCATGGTTTTCACTGTGTTGAATTCATGATTGATGCCTACATCCATGCTGGTGTTCTATTTATTTTTTTGAACAATAAAATTGTCAGTTTTATAAAATATATGGTACTTTAATTTTTCTAAGCGTTACCTTTGCCCTATATTTGTCATCAATAGTAACCACTTTTTGCCTATGCTTTGGGCAGTTCTGTTTTTTGATTTACTGTAAGAAATCTATGGACTGTTGAATAAATCTATGGACTTCTTTAAACTACAGGTGAAACTCGAAAAATTAGAATATCGTGCAAAAGTTAATTTATTTCAGTATTGCAACTTAAAAGGTGAAACTAATATATGAGATAGACTCATTACATGCAAATCAAGATAGTTCAAGCCGTGATTTGTCATAATTGTGATGATTATGGCTTACAGCTCATGAAAACCCCAAATCCAGAATCTCAGAAAATGAGAATATTGTGAAAAGGTGCAATATTCTAGGCTCAAAGTGTCCAACTCTAATCAGCTAATTAAGCCATAACACCTGCAAAGGGTTCCTGAGCCTTTAAATGGTCTCTCAGTCTGGTTCAGTAGGAATCACAATCATGGGAAAGACTGCTGACCTGACAGTTGTGCAGAAAACCATCATTGACACCCTCCATAAGGAGGGAAAGCCTCAAAAGGTAATTGTAAAAGAAGTTGGATGTTCCAAAGTGCTGTAAAAGCACATTAATAGAAAGTTATGTGGAAGGGAAAAGTGTGGAAGAAAAATGTGCGCAAGCAGCATTGATGACCGCAGCCTGGAGAGGATTGTCAGGAAAAGACCATTCAAAAGTGTTGGGGACTTTCACAAGGAGTGGACTAAGGCTGGAGTCAGTGCATCAACAGACACCACACACAGACGGATCCTGGACATGGGCTTCAAATGTCTTATTCCTTTTGTCAAGCCGCTCCTGAACAACAAACAACGTCAGAAGCGTCTTACCTGGGCTAAAGAAAAACAGACCTGGTCTGTTGCTCAGTGGTCCAAAGTCCTCTTTTCTGATGAGAGCAACTTTTGCATCTCATTTGGAAACCAAGGACCCAGAGTATGGAGAAAGAATAGAGAGGCACACACTGCAAGATGCTTGAAGTCCAGTGTGAAGTTTCCACAGTCTGTGTTGATTTGGGGAGCCATGTCATCTGCTGGTGTTGGTCCACTGTGCTTCATTAAGTCCAGGGTCAATGCAGCCGTCTACCAGGAGATTTTGGAGCACTTCATGCTTCCTTCCACAGACAAGCTTTATGGGGATGCTGACTTCATTTTCCAGCAGGACTTGGCACCTGCCCACACTGCCAAAAGCACCAAAACCTGGTTCAATGACTGTGGGATTACTGTGCTTGATTGGCCAGCAAACTCGCCTGACCTGAACCCCATAGAGAATCTATGGGGCATTGCTAAGAGAAAGATGAGAGACATGAGATGGAACAATGCAGAAGAGCTGAAGGCCACTATTGAAGCATCCTGGTCTTCCATAACACTTCAGCAGTGCCACAGGCTGATATCTTCCGTGCCATGCCGCATTGAGGAAGTAATTGCTGCAAAAGGGGCACGAACCAAGTACTAAGTACATATGCATGCTTATACTTTTCAGAGGTCCGATATTGTTCTATGTACAATTCTTGTTTTATTGATTGCATGTAATATTCTAATTTTCTGAGATTGTGGATTTGGGGTTTTCATGAGCTGTAAGCCATAATCATCACAATTATGACAAATCACGGCTTGAACGATCTTGCTTTGCATGTAATGAGTCTATCTCATATATTAGTTTCACCTTTTAAGTTGCATTACTGAAATAAATGAACTTGTGCACGATATTCTAATTTTTCGAGTTTCACCTGTATATTAAACTGTTCAACAGACAATGGTTCTGTCATATTCTTCCATGGAGGACAGATCAGATTTCCTTTTCTTCTTTTCTTTTCTAGCTAAGTAAGACGGTTTCACTAGCGTTAACATTCTTAGTTATGTCTTTTGTTTGGGCAAGCTTGTTATTAACGTGCCTTTGTTTTTCTCCTAGGGGTGCTAATTGCATGTTATTTAATATATGCCACAAGAATGACTGCAGATCAAGCTATTTTGTTTGTCCGTGCAAAGAGACAAAATGCTATCCAGACCAGGGTCCAACTCTTGTGTATACGCGAGTTTACTCAGTTTCTGAACCCTCTGCACAATGTGTTTGCTTGCTGTGACCCAAAAGCCCATGCCGTCACTTTATCTCAATACTTGATCCGCCAACAGCACTTACTTCACGGATACGAAGCTCGCCATCTCAAATATGTGCCAAAAATTGTCCACTTGGTTTGTAGGTTATTGATAGACTTAGTGGAAAACAGGCAAGTGGTGGAGAAGGAGATCGTAGATGTTCCAGATCTCTCTGCTGAGATCGAGAAGACTGTTTCTCAGTTTTCCCCTGAACAACTTGATAAAGTTTTAGCCAGTGAAATTGATACGGGGGATTCATTAGCCCATTCTGTTACAACCCCAGCTTGTTATGTAGTTCGTGATTCAGTGTTAACAAGTGAACAGGAATTTGACCCCTTGTGGAAGAGGAGGAACGTAGAATGTCTTCAGCCATTGTCCCATCTAAAAAAGCGTTTAAGTTACAGTGACTCAGATCTAAAGAAGGCTGAAATTCTCCTGGAGCAAGGTGAAACCCCATGGACAGAGCCAGCAGAGATGTGTTTTTTAAGCAAAATCAATGAGCATATAAGGGTTAAGCACTGTTTCGAAAATCATGAGATCACAGACCCTATGCCTTCGGCACGGTCAAACAAAGAACCTTGTGCAAAAGCAGCTTTTTTTTTCTGGAGCCAGAGTAAAGTCGGTAGCATTGAAGCTCCCAGAGATGGTTCCCCTCTATTTCATAGGATGAAATTCCATAAAGAGATGCAGCGAAGTCGTACTTTTTCATTAGGATATTCCTCAATAGCAGGCAGTGACCAATCAGCTTTAGTAGACTCTGAATATTTAATGCCAAGCATGACTCCTCGGGACTCTACTGATTGTAATTGTGCTGCTGAGAACAATAGAATACAGGAAGGTAACAGCATCTCCAAACCTCAGGACACTAACTGCACTTCATCCAAAGTGACTTTTTATCTAGAATGTAGTGAGACACCAGAAGTTGTCCCACAGATTGCCCAGGAGTATGAACCAAGCCTTGATGCCAGGCGCTTGCTGGCAGCTAAAGCTCTAGCATGCTTGACTTATGATGGTGCTGAAGAAGTTGAAGAAAAAGTAAACTTTTGGCAGGTAGATATGCTTTTATTGATTTAATTTTTATCGTGCAGGTAAAAGTTTAGCAGTTGTGTTGAAAAAAAAAACAAAATTGCTGAATACTTTCACAGCTCTGGTTTATCATTGCCAAAATTTTATTTTAACAAGTCACTCACAATGAAAACAGCAGTTAGTGTGTTTAACATTGGTGGACATCTTGGATGATGATTCTTGCTTGTGTATTCGGGAAGAGTTGGTGATGATATTTTTGGATGGTGGGCTGTCTTTTTTGCTTTATGTTTTTAGCTAAGTGTAACCCCATATAATTTACTGCATCCATTCTGCACATGGCCACTCTAAAGAAAAAATATTATAGATTAAGGTGTCAAAGTGATATTCTAAGATGCTGTATGACTGTATTAGTAAATCTGCCATACCTAAAAATTTCACATCAAGTCACTGGGGTTGATTTACTAAAACTAGAAAGTGCAAAATCTGGTGCAGCTGTGCATGGTGGCCAATCAGCTTCTAACTTCAGCTTGTTCAATTAAGCTTTGACGAAAAAAAAAAAAAGCTGATTGGTTTCAATGCAGAGCTGCAGCAGATTTTGCACTCTTCAGTTTTAGTAAATCAACCCCAGTGATAATAGGATTAAAGTGATTCTAAAGGTTGGATTTTTTTTTTTAAACCACTTCCTGTCTGGTCCATGTACATTCACTGCCTGAGTGTGCTCCCTGGGAGCGCGCGGAACCGCGATCCGGTACCCGCTGTGTCCTCCAGACACAGCGGAACACCAATCACTGTACGGGACCCCCTCTGTGTGAGGTCCTCTGTGTGAGGTCCCAATTCATGTGATCTCTGATTGGCCAGTCACATGAATAGTAGTAAACAACATGTCACTTCCTGATCTTCATTACCCCCCACAAGTAGTACATTGTCACCATGGTGACACTGTAGTGCTAAGGTGACAGTATGAAAAAAAAAAAAAAATAAAAATAAATAATAATATATAAAAAAAAAATAAAAATGTAATAATTTAGAAAAATTATAATTTTTGGTTATAAACTAATTTGGGTTATTTTTTTTCACTAAAAAGATAGCTAAATACATTTTGGCCAAGATTTATGAAGAAAGATTTATTTGCAAAATTTTATAACAAAACACTTTTTTTTCAAAATGTTTGAACTTTTTAATTTATATAGCAAAAAAATAAAAATCCCAGTGGTGATAAAATTCATATGGGTACAGTGTTGCTTGACCGCGCAATTGTCATTCTAAGTGTGATAGCACTGAAAGCTGAAAATTGGCTTGGACAGGAAGGGGGTGAAAGTGTCCGGACTTGCAGTGGTTAAATAACATACATGTCATTCTTTCTTGCTCTGTGCAATGGTTCTGCTCAGAGCAGCCCCGATCCTCTTCTTTTTGTGTCCCCCACTGGCGGTCCTGGCTCCTCCCCCAGGTGAGTGCCCTCAATAGCAAGCCACTTGCTATGGTGGTACTCAAGCAGACTCGCTCCTGAGCCACAATCCTGTGAATGGACATTGTCCATTCACACACAGAGAGTGGCTCAGCCCCTCCCCCCACTCTCTCATCATTGGCTCACTGGCTGTGATTGACAGCAGCAGGAGCCAAAGGCTCCTGATGCTGTGTGAATGAATGAGGAGAGAGAGACATGTTGCATTTTATTGCAGTATACCCGGCTAATCGCACTGCAGTGTCAGGCAGCACATCATGCTGACCAACATTGCAGTGAATGAAGTGTACATTTTGTATAAAAAAGGTGGGGGGAGCCTCTGTGCGATTTCACTGGTAAGCAATGTGAATTTGCCCTAAGGCTAGCACAATTTCATTCAAAAAGGTCCATTCACTCCAAAATTGAATGAACAAAAAACATTTATTTGAAGTGCTTTTGAATGATATTTGTTAAGTCTTCAGATGTACCAATGAGAATTTTCATACAAATATATGGACATTTGTTTGAAAATCTAGTGTATGTCCAGCTATGCTGTACTTTCTTTAACGTGACAGGGTTGGTGTTTTCTGATTAGCCCAGCACTGTCACAGGAGGATCAGGAGACAGCACTTTCTAATCTCTCACATGAGCAACTAAGGACTCGTTAACACTTGGCTGTTTTACACGCTTGCCAAAGCGCGTTTGGCAAGCATTGGTCCGGCGTTTGTGGAGTGTTTTTTAACGCATGCGTGGTTTGACGGAGGTTGCTAGGCATTTGCCGAGCGTTAAAAATGCCCCACAAACGCCTATAATGCAGTTTGAATGGTGTTACCGCTCCGCAAACGCCTCGCAACCGCGTAGCAACCGCACCGCAAACGCCGGCCGGACATTTGCGGAGCGGCACCATAGACTAGAATAGGAGGCTTCAATGCCTCCTAACTCAACCAGAGGCGTCCGTTTTGCCGCGACGCGACGCAAACGCTCCCGTTAGAACAGCACCATGTGCAGTAATGTGCAGAATTGGCAGAGGCGGTAAAAACGCTTCCCAAACGCCTCTCTGCCGCCTGCACACAACACTAGTGTGAACGTAGCCTTATACCGGGCAACTTTCCTTGAAATATGTATTTGTGAACTGCCATATCTGCTGGGAATGTGTTATTGTGTTCATTCAGTTCTCTAACCCAAACCATTTATTTACTGTGCTTTCTTCTCCAATCATCAAGCTGTTTTTTAGACTCTCAGTACTGTGTAGTGCTGTAAACAATAAAATAATTACAGTGCTGCCTCTGAATGCAGAAATATTGGGGGTTACAGGAGGCTTGTGTGTCAGCAGATTGCTATTTAATGCACTGTTAACCCCAAAAACAAACATTTATTATATTGCTGCTCACCATTTCTTAGATGTGATGGCTGCATTCTATTTCTTTTTAGGCTTTCTTTCTTCTATTTTCACCTGGTGATGCAGCCAGTACGTTTGTTGTTTTTCAAAGGAACAATCTTTTTTGGTTGTATCTGTTACAGTGTTGAGACAAATCATCCGCTGCTGACGGGTGTTTAGAATGATCAGCTTTTACTTATTTAAGTAAAACCTTTATCCAAATGTAAAAATACTGTTACTGTAACTGCTTGTAAAGTATTAGCTGGAGTTCAGCTTCAATTTATTAGTGTACCTGCTACTCCATCTAACACTCCCCTACCCCCAGAATGACAATGCTGCTATCCAAAGGTGCCACCTGTGCTCCTTCATCCAGAGTAGGGGCACTCTAAAACAGGAGGTGTGTTATTGGGCATATCACCAGGTGAAAACCGAGGGAAAAAGCCTGAGAAAGAATAATACAGCCACCACATCTAATAATTGGTAATCTGCAGTATGGTAATTTTTTTTGTTTTGGATTTAATACTGCTTTAAAAATACACTAAGGTGTTCTTTTAGTGAATATATAACTATATTATTGTTAATTCTTTTAGACCTGCTTACACAAGCAATTATAAATGCCTCTTGCATACTGCTGCCGAAATACTGAACATTTTCAGGCAAACAGGCGTTTTTTTTTTGTTTTTGTTTACTGATCCAAATTCATCCCATTGTTTTCAATGTGTCTGTACACACAGGCATGTAAACGTGTGCTGCGTATAGATGAGTAAAAAAAAAAAAAGCAGCAGAAATGTGAGATGCTAGTCAGTATTTTATGCATGTATGTGAAATATATGCTTGTATATGCAAATACATACAAAATAAATGCCTGAAGTTTCAGCCAGGAATACTGATGTTTAAACATCAGTAACATGTGCAAGTACCCTTATAGATACTGAACTGTGGAAGCTGTGCCGAAAAAAAAGAGGGCAATGGATTAGTCAGCAGTATTGTCTGTGGACTCCCTGCAGCTCATCTTTTCTCATTACTGACTTACTTTTCCTTCTTCTGCACAGTCTCTCTGTGGAGGTGACCATCTTGGTATAGGATGGGCTTTGATTCTTCATGTCAGAGCCTCCAGCAAGGAGTGACATCACTGAATCTCTCTCCAAATCTTTTGGGACTGGCAGAAATACCTTAGATCTCATACTACAGATATATACACTATATTGACAAAAGTATTGGGACTCCTGGCTTTACATGCACATGAACTTTAATGGCATCCCAGTCTTAGCCCGTATGGGTCAACATTGAGTTGGCCCACCCTTTGCAGCTATAACAGCCTTGACTCTTCTGGGAAGGCTGTCCACAAGGTTTAGGAGTGTGTCTATGGGAATGTTTGACCATTCTTCCAGAAGCGCATTTGTGAGGTCAGGCACTGATGTCGGATGAGAAGGCCTGGCTCACAGTCTCCGCTCCAATTCATCCCAAAGGCATCCTATTGGGTTGAGGTCAGGACTTTCTGCAGGCCAGTCAAGTTCCTCCACCCCAAACTCATTCATTCATGTCTTTATGGACCTTGCTTTGTGCACTGGTGCGCAGTCATGTTAGAACAGGAAGAGGCCATCCCCAAACTTTTCCCACAAAGTTGGGAGCATGAAATTGTCCAAAATGTCTTGGTATGCTGATGCCTTAAGAGTTCCCTTCACTGGAACTAAGGGGCCAAGCCCAACCCCTGAAAAACAACCCCACACCATAATCCCCCCCCACCAGACTTTACACTTGGCACAATACAGTCAGGCAAGTACCGTTCCCCTGGCAACTGCCAAACCCAGACATGTCCATTGGATTGCCAGACAGAGAAGTGTGATTCATCACTCCAGAGAACATGTCTCCACTGCTCTAGAGTCCAGTGGCGGTGTGCTTTACACACCACTGCATCTGACACTTTGCATTGCACTTGGTGACTTAAGGCTTGGATGCAGCTGCTCGGCCATGGAAATCCATACCATGAAGCTCTCTATGCACTGTTGTGCTAATCTGAAGGCCACACGAAGTTTGGAGGTCTTTAGCTATTGACTCTGCAGACAGATTTCGACTTTTGCGCTTCATCATGCACTGACCCCTCTCTGTCATTTTACATGGCTGAGTTGCTATTCCCAGTTGCTTCCACATTGTTATAATACCACTAACAGTTGACCGTATTAGCAAGGAAATTTCACGGATGGACTTATTGCACAGGTGGCAACCTAT